TATGACAGTCCTATGACAATCGTATTGTATCTTCCTTGATCACCTGTTGCACTCTTACCATGATCATGCCTGTGCTGGCGTGCCTCGCTTATCTGGGAATAAAAGTTTATTTATTTATTTATTCGTTGTCACAATCAGAACTTCCTGACGTCAGTGCGTATAGATGCCGAAAACCATCAATTCCGTCTAGCGCACGCCAATATCCTCGGAAGGGCAAAAGGTCAGCAAGCATGTGAATTCATTGAAACCTGGTATTCTAAGCAGAACTTAATCAACAGAACACTGTGATCTCGAAGTCGCCCATGAAGTCGCACTAGTAATTGCCTAGCCTGGCAACGAAACTTCCGCAAACTAATCTTGCAGCTCGGAGAACAATGCGAGTTCTACGTATTCACCCAGAGCTACGGATATTCTCAACTATTTCAAGCCTACACCGTACTGGTCGCCGAAGTGAAACTCGTCGTCGGTGTGCAGTTTTGCATTTTGAGCGTTCGGCCGACAATATCCTTACTTCTGAGTCGAAGGAGCTTGTTTAGTTGTTGATAGATGCCATCTTTCACACTGCCAGCACTACTATTTTAAAGGCGTAGGCAGCAATGACGAACATGCGCCTATTGTTTCCGCGCGAATTCGAAACTTTTAACGAGCCAACTAGTAGGATGACGCACATCCGTCTATAGACTGTGGTCCTGTCGACCAGAACAGCTTCAGCGCGGGAGCTCAGGGTAATCGCTACACCGGATAGACGTTGTGAGAAAGTACCGCTGGTGTCACACATCTGGACTTGTCATTTGGCATTGGTTTTGCTGATTCACGCGGACGCATTTTGTCTAAGCAATATCGAAACCATTTAATCGTTTTTTTCAATTCGGCATTGCTTGCTTAACTTTAACTGTGGATTCACTTTTTTATCCGTCTTGGTGGATGAAATCGCTATCGTCACGTTTCAGACGGGCAATTTTACTTTTGGTGTGGGCATAGTAGTTGTCATTTGCGGTATTTTAAGCTTGAGCCAATGGGTAGTGGCACATAGGATGTCAGCGTAGCACTCTTCACAGACGATGAAATCAGTTTTTTTTCCAACAGGCCTCGCTGCATCCCCGCACGTGTGCAGTTCGAAATCAAACGTCGATCAGAGCTACTGAGCAACATTATGAGACGTGGTGACTTTTCATTATGCGCCCCTGTTATCTGAAGCACCGAGGCTTTCAAAGGCGCACGTTATCATCATTTCTCACTCCAAATCTGTATGGCTAAGAACACGATTATGAGAGTCGTTTCAAGTAAAATAGATACTCATCGGCGTCTGATGATGTATTCCTTACAAATCTGTAGTGACTGGCTTCTCCACTTGATTGCCAAACCACACTCTTATGCCATAAACACCGTCTCCTGTCACATCATCTAGTGCCAGCTGATGGGGGTGATATCCCAAGTCCACTCTTACCCAGTCGTCATCTGCCACAGGTGACGCATGTCATTTTGAAGTTATCAGTAGACTTGGATCATCTACCTAAACTTCAATCCCGCACTTACTCTCCGTGACTTATAGAGGTGCCTTAATTCCATTCCTTTTTCTGTCCACCCAAGTTAACAATCTGTCAATCAGCCACCCAAATTCAGAATGAAATGTCATTCAGCACCGACGAGCGAGGTCACTTGACGAAATACCACCTTCATCTGCACCCCATGCACAGTGAAGGTCTTCGAATCCACTTGTTGACCTACGTTCATTCATCTCAATAGTTGATGGAGGTCCGAAGCTTCCACTTGTCTAATATGAGCACGGAAAACGTTTCCGTCGAAAAATCCATTTCTGATTGTTCACACGCCAAAGTGGACATGATTAAATGCCTCATAATTACACGGCAGCGTTATTGCTTGGTAACTGTTTGTAAAACTGAGAGCCGGTGCTAGCAAGAACAGTCAGGTACCGCAATAGGCGTCCAGCTAATCCATTCTCAAATTCACCGACTTGAACCTGCGGTGGGACATTTCTCAAAGCAGTTCAATCAACACGCTGGGACGTTGATGTTACCGAGAAATCGAACGCAAATTTACGCCGTTGAATAGATACCAAGCGACTAGATCTGACAACCTCCATACATCGTTCCTGAAGAACACTGGTAATTTCCTAATTGTTAGCCGCTCCGTCTAACACCTTATGGTGCACTAGATGTGCATTCTGATAGTTAGTTATCGATCAGCATGCTTGCTTTTAGGAAAAGCCATCGAGCGGCCATCACCAAAATATCAGCATTATTGCTAACGTGTCTAAGTTGCTTACAGATTTCATTCTTCGGTGGCCAACTGACCCACGTGATTACCGGCTCCAGTCAAAGTCAAGTTGGGTTCCGGTCTTGTAGAAAATGCACCCATTTTACCCCCATTAAAAACCGGTATTTTATTCCAAACATAAAATCTGAAAACGTAAACTGCAAGATGGCTTAGTCATTCCGAGCAAGCCTATCAATCACAATCATGCGCTCTTTGATTTTCACACCTAAACTTCGGCCAATGCGCCTGACATCGCTGTCACCGCACCTACATGTGCATTTGTACAAACAGTTGGAACTGCACTGCAGTCCGCGGTGAGGGGTATGGGATTCAAGATGAGTTGGCTGTAGAGGCTCTCAAGGTTTGCATCGACAAGCGCTCTGTAAAACTGATGAGGTGGTGTTTCGAATCTTAGTCTGAGGGATAATGTTTTAATTTACAATAGGTTGAGAGAGAAGGATGATACATTATGAGCTGTCATCCGCTGCAGTTTATAAAGCGCCTTAGTGACGTAACCAAGCGAGATCGTGCACCAACAGTTCAAAACAAGTCGACCATTATCGAACTGATCATATCATGAAAATCACCGAGAAACGTATTATTACTTTAGCAGAAAAAGCATACAATGCAGCTGAACTACGGTTGCTCATGTCAACAAATCCTCTGCTTATGTGTTCTATCAGGATACCGATAACTAGGTAATGCATGCCCCACTGTTTGTACAAATTAGCCTGCATTTGCAGCGACAGCTATGTCGGGTGCATTGACCGAAGTTTAGGTGTTACGATCGATGGACACATTCCCGTGGTCATGCAGCTGGATGGGATCGGTGACAACAGAATCAGGTGAATTTTGAAATCGAACTACCTCAGCAATCACACGGCACTTGCTAAGCATCAACCATCGACTAAGTCTTGATGAGTCATTCACCGTCTTGATGTGCAACCAGGCTGTTGGTAGCCATTGTCATCGATCGAGAACGACCACTGGTTTGTGTGCAGAAACAGCTGACAATGAACCTGAACTTGATAGCGCGACGCTTGGTTAACTATTGATCTCGAATGATCTTGTTTTGTATATGTATAATTTTGCATGATTGCGATTGACGAACTTGCACGTAACGACTGAGTAGTCTCACAGTTTACGCCTTTTCCTGTTTGGAATTATAAAGGGATTTTCCTGTTTCAAATTCCATATTATTGCCCTTTCTAGTTCTCTGGTACTACTTTCCTTTAGAACATGCGCCGGAGGAATGTACGACTACTCAGAAACCCCTGAGTTGTGACACGCGGTATCGTGTTGCACTGTTGAGAGCCATTTCCTGAGCTCACCACTACAGGCAAAATCCATCAGTGCTATTCTCCTTCCTCTCTTCAGTGATGGGACTCTGAATGGTTCATCTCTATATCGGATAGTCGGGTAACAAATTGGGGTTCCCGCATATGCGTTGCTCAATAGCTTGATGCAGGCTGCTGCACATTTGGCATGTGATTTGCACCTTCAACGCGTAGAGGACCACATGTTTGAGCTCGTGTGTCACTTTCCCTCACTATCACTGAACATCCAGTTGAGTTACTCCGTCGGTTCAAATCACGCCAGAGACTATCGCCAAACTGGTAGGACCCGTGTAGCTTTTCAAAATCTCAGCCATCTAATGTAGACAGTTTGTTGCTCAAGTTTAGTGTATGATACCTCGAGACGACCAGTATGTTTAGATGAATCCCCGCAGTAACTGCTGATAGTGTGACGTAGGCGCGACAGTTTTGATTGTAAAGCTGGCTTAGAAAGTGAGTGTCATCTTCATAGACAAGACCGATGGAATCCCCGAAAGCAGTGATCGTAAACTTCCCAATGGTGACGCTTATACCTCTCCCCATTTTCTTACAAATATTTGTTCTATGTATAAGTCCTTTTCCCCACCATCGATATTTTTGCACCTGTTCTTCTTGTTAGTCCTTTTTCCGGCGACGCGTTCATAGAACCTGAATCATAGTTGACTAGCTGGACAAATCAACAGGATCAGAGATTTGTCTTCCCAGCACTGATAGATTCATAGTTCTAATGTGTTTTATATTCTGGTGGACTGATTTGCAACTAGCTTCTGTACATTTCAAGTACACGCTTTATCATATTGCTCCAAATGGAGCACTGTCCACAGAACACTTGATCAACAGTACGTTTGGCAGAGTACCACAAAACACAGTCCACACTTGACCACCTACCGCTTTGTCTGCTCTATCATAGTTCTTAGATGTTCAAATTACCTCCCAATCATTGAATTAACTGGTCATGAGGGGGATTAAGTTGCTTCGGTCATATTTTTTTCTTTACACTTTGTTCCACCCATTAATGAACAGCCACTGAGCATTCTTTCGTTGCAGTATAATTTCACTGCAAATGATTTCATAACACCCATCAGATACGATTTGTCCGCATAGCTTGGACTATACAGATTACCAATTTAAAAAGTTGATACCAGTAGAGTGCTGTTGTTTTGAGCCATTAAGTTCCGCTTGGTCGGCACTACCAATAGACACTTGTACCCCAGGTTCACGATGATACGTGAGTGTGATAACCCTTTTAATGGGCCGCATGGTGTTTCCTAGCTGAACCAAAATGAAGATAGCCATAAGCCGCCATATTGCGTCAGCAACTTTCCAGTTCGACACGGATAATGTGGGGAAGCACGCGTTTACCATGCTTTACCTATTTTATTTAAACAGGTGCCGAAGAGAGCAAATGTGAATCATGCGGCAGAAATTTTACAACCAAGTTCGCACTCCATCGCCACATACGAAAGGTGCATGAAGGTGAGTGGACCTGTTGTTATCCTAAACTTCTAAGTGGAATTACACGTGCGTTCACTTTGTCAATGCATTTGTTTTCTGGGGTGATGATTATGATGATTATGATGGATGCATGAGACTAGGTCCTTACCATTAGTTCGCTATGAATTGCACGGCTTCATTACACGATGCTCGGAAATCCCTACTCGCATCCTTCTCACACCAACGCAGTCTGCCAGGAATCTGCGGTGCCTCTTGATTTGGTATTTTGTCGAATTGTCCTCCCTGACTCGAATCCATTCCAAAGACGCACGCTGCAAATGCAAGACCTTTTCAGCCCTTGCGCTCCTAACGGCTTGTTTTCTCTTCATCTAACTGGAGCGGCGGTGCACCAACTGCCGTTCACACGATGCCAGAAGTTACAGCTGTCCTTTAAGACTGTCACAGCCTGTTTTGTCCTCGGAATGTGTGCACCTGTTTGAACCCGGTTGTTATGCATCGCTGTTTATCATCGGCAACAGTCTCAAGGTTGCAGTTCCACATATGTCCACTAGACCTTGAAATTAATCCGATCTACGTCGTCGTGCTGTTCATATCTAGAACAACAGTCAGTGTATCAGAGTGCATCACATTGTCCGATCGATTCATTTGAGTCATGTGACACTTTGATCACTATGGTGCAAACATGCTGTTCTGACTACTCAGTACTGTGCTAAAATATTCATCCTGCGGCATCTATGCTTCTGTTCGTTATGTACATCCGATATCCAACTAACCCACCCCTCGTCTCCAACACTCAAATTATTTTGTTTCAGGTATTTCTGAGCGAGTTTTACCATGCGCATGTTGTGGGAAAAAGTTTTCGGCAAAACATGGTCTGGAGCGTCACATGCGACTGATTCACGAGAGTAGGTTTTCTCCATTACCTCGTCATGACTCATCGCATTTTAGGCGCAGAATTATGCATATGTCCCCTGTGTAACCGGACCTTCTCTACCAAATTTGCATTTAATCGCCACACCAAGACTGTTCACGCAAGTATGTTCAGACCACAAACGTAATCTCGTGCCGATATACGTAATTCCACCTGGTTACTTTGGGTGCCACCTTACAAGCTGTAATTCGTCTTTATTTTTGAGTCCCGTATGTTTTGCTTGAGTGAGTTTGTGAGCAACTCCAGAATCTGCTAGTTCCCCGCTAGCGTGAGGGATCGAATGCAGTGTCTTTATGGCTTTGCCTCATACTCTCCATTCCAGTACCGTTGCATTATCCTGTTTTAAAATTACAGTGCGCTGCAGTGTGTAGATTCCAAGAACAATGGAATTACGAATAACTTATCTAGTCTAGAATGAAGCCTACCTAGATTACTCATAAAATGATCCATATTCAGCCAACGCTAGGGACAAAATGCTTCAGGTTATTCTGTTAGGTTTCTGTTTTTGAGAGCGAACAGTATCGCAAGTTCCTAACCTGCTATTTACCAAGTTCATATGTGCTTAAGTCCAGAATGTATGATGGGTATTCCAAGCACGCCAAAGCGGATACCCAAGCAGCCTGACATTTATCCAACTTGGTTTGAATGTTGACAGTAGCTTCGTATAGGAGAGTTTGACGAACATGCGCAAATTTCTTCACTTCCATGTCTGTGTTCTTTTTTCCCAGCACGATGTGGTGTTAGTTTCGATTTCGTAGTCAAAATATCCTGCTGTGAAATCCACATGTGTTCTTTTCCCCACTCCCTTCCACCGTTTAACTTAGCTTCGCTCATCCTGTGCTCGCCGTGCAGCTTGGTATTCCCATCCAAATTCGCACTGCTGGAACACAATTTGACTATACACAATAGTAAGTCTCTTTGTGTGCAGAAAACTTGCTTTCAGCGGAGTCGGTGTCCATTGTTCTCCTTAAGTTGTGCATCTGTGTGTTGCGTCTGATTCCCCGCATCGCGTATTTGAAGCTGTATGCTGGGTCTTTCTGTTCCTTACGCTTATTGCTACGCTCCTATCCGGAACAAATACTGCGCAGCAACGAGCAGACAATCCGTACTAACGGCAAAACAGCTCCATCTGTCCCTGCATCATCTACTTCCAAGCATTCATGATTAGAGAAGTGTGTGCGGGACAGAAGTTATTTGAAATCCAACCTACAGCTTTGAACCCATTGGCCTATTGCACACTGCTCTACACCAGTCTGAATAGGAATGTACTTTCTAGGTACCTGTTGACCCTGTCCAATCCGCCGTAATGTAAGAGTGATTAACCATTAGGAACGGCATCCAGCGCTCAAAAGTGGAAGAAGGTTGTCTCTTCCACAAGACCGCCTCTTGTCAAGGACAACCCCCTATCTAATTTAAAGCTCATATTTTCCCCTATATGATTTACATCATACTACCACAGTACAATAAGACTGTTCCAAATTCTGTACCATACTCTGTGGTTGCCGGACAGATAACTCTGATCCACTGATTATCGGTAGAGATCTTTTTTGTATTCATGCTATACATGGAACATACCGTGAACTGTTTTTGGTGAGCAGTGATCTTGAACCTACTCAACTTGTTCAGACCAATTTCTTGATATAGCAGACTATCATCTGTGCATCTTAGCATTGCGAGCACAGCGGTTTCAGCTGACACTACTGATGTTCGGCAGACGACGATGGTCAAATTATCTGAGGTCTTCAGACTAAAAGACCGAGTCTCTATCCATCTTGAATAATTTACTGAAGTTCTTTATACACAGCCTTTAGAGCCATTGAAATCCCCTTCAGGTGCCAAAGCTACCGTAGTTTTTAAAAGCGCTGCAAATCTTCGCACACCCATCGCTTCTGATGCAGCTGCCAAGATGGATAAATTTGCCAACTATGGTAATGGGTAGTTGGGATAGCAAACGATTTGCGGTACGATAATTGCACTCCACCAGCAGTGCCGTACGGCTTAGGGGTACTGAAAGGTCGTCTACATCTACGGCAGGCGCCTGAACCACTCGGCCACTGTTGGTGGCATCCGTAATTATTCTTAAACCTTGTCACCACCTAAAGCGTTCGAGTGTAATGATCTGAAAACATTCAGCGGCTCCGTGGAGACATTCCCGAGAGCAATCGACCCGATCAAATAATGTTTTGGAATCGAGAAACAGCTGTGGTATGTGTGACACTGCTGCGGCACCTAGCGCATAGTGGAAATGTGACTCTTTTAAGTATTCCCGTCGAAACTATGTCCACCACTTTTATCCGGTTTTCGTCCTTCGGCAGTGCGATCCACTTGAGTGGGTCCTAGATTTATATCTGTATCTTTTGCAAAATGATTACGTATCCCTGTGTCGGATGATCTCCTAGGTCCACCGGCACCGCTTACCCTGAGTGCCCCGCATTGGTTAACCGCTTCTTCCATTATTCTCCGGATCTTTTACGTTCACATATTTATCATCTCACTTCTGATTCTCCAGCTAGAAAGAAGCTTCTGGGTTACAGCAGAGATGCAGTGTCGTGCACCACGAAGATTATCAACATGACAAATGGAAACTGCAACGCCGTGTACGACAGTCATATTTTTCTCAAACGGCGCTTTTCGGTGAAAATACTCCGAAGGGCATTCTGTGGGGCATTGCATATCGATGGGTTGCAAAAATCAAAACGTATTTTGCTACAGTATTTGCATAAGCGAACTAAGGCATGATCAGAGTCGAGATGTATGTTCCACACATAACTCAGAAATCGAACCTGTCGGAAGATGCCAAATAATGAATGAGTGTCATTTGAGTCGGAAGCAGTTCTCAGCAGAAACACTCGGCGTGGCGCACATTTTTAATTTACGTCTGCTGTTGTCCGTACACTCTGAAGTTCGAACGAGCTCCTAGTTGAATTTTCGGGCTGCTGTGATGACATGCTTATTAATCCATTGTCTGTGACCATCTCCCCGGGTTTGTATCATTGCGTAGTATTGAATCAAGGTCGGAGTGGGAGGTATATTTGGCAACATCAGAACTGCGCCTAGACGCAGTCAACAGACAGACACAAGCTGTGTCCAGTGCTGCTCTGTGCACTAGTCGTTGTTGGAGCAGCTACACACGGGAATTCAACAAACTAGCAAGGATCCTTTTCTGAGTCAACAAACAATATTCACACCAGTCTTGCCTGTGGCTGCGGCCCAGCATCCCATGACTTGCGCAGTCGATAGGCAAAAGACAAGTTAGACATAGTGTGGTAGTCACGTTAAAATTATGAATTAAAGGTATCCAATATACATACAAGCGGGCGTGCTTCCCTGTTAGGGCAAGGATACTTTGTTGAATGCAACCAAAAAAACTCGTCAGTGTAAATGACTGAAGACGCAAACCACCGGGTAGTGGGGTCAAAGGGGTAGAGATAGCAAATTTATAATGATGCTGCAACGACTGTCCTCTACGCTGGGTAGGGTGTTGGTGATGTGATTGTCAGATGTGCAGGGGAAGCAGGTGGAAGTGGCATCACATATATTCAGTTTTTGTTTGCATGTAGCACCCTCTGAAATCGAGCGGTGATCAGACCTAAGTTTGATGTGATAGGCTTGGTATTGTGTGGTTTGGGATACTGCCATGGGAAAACAGTCACGGGTTTCAACCAAAGCTCGAAAACCCGACCACATGGCTGCGGCAACTTGTAGATGGGTGCTATTTCATTGTCAGTCGTTAATCTCTAACCTGAATAATCGGAAAGCTCAGTTCATCCGATCTTTAAACTTGGACCAACCTACATGAATGGCTCTCGAAGCGCCGAAGACTGCTGCCCAATATAGCCTAACGAACCGGGTAGTTACTGAAACCGTCGTATGACTTTGGAATGCAGCCTTGCTGCGAAGACCAACCTATAGTTGTTGAGCATCAATAAAGTTATGCCATCCCGTAGTCTACCCAACTGCGTCATCTCTTGTTGAGTAGATTATCTAGGAAACCGTCGCATCCATCATTATTATTTGTTAGTTTTTCCACGAATGCAGTCATGTTCAAGAATATGGCTCCGGTTAGTCCATCGTCCTGATCCAGACAGACACGCGTGTAACCCATTAACTTGCGAGATGCTTTCCCTGCGACTGCTCAAAATATACACTTCATTGTTTTATTCCTGAGCATGCTAATCAATTGCCATTTTGCGATTCATTCACCCGCGATCTACTCTTTTATGATCTCGCTTTTAGCTTCAAAAATATTCGCTTGCCCAGAGTGCCTGAAATGTTTTCCAGACGCTGAGACCCGTCGAGTACATCATCAGGCGGAGCACATGGGTATGTTTCAATGTAATACCGATCTCCATACTTAGAACCAATATGCTACCTTCAGTAAATGTATGGTGCATGTTTCCTTGCTGTAAACCGCTCAAAGCTTGCTTTGATACGACAGTCCCTCCACAGCTTCGCCGATGCTCCATACTGAAGCACCCATAGTACACGAAATCCAGTGCTTGCGAATAAACGAATTCATATGCACAATTGGCTAGTAGAATTACAATTTGATAAAATTCGTGGGTCAAGATAATAACGATAGTCTTGCAACGTGTGTACAGTTGAGCGCAAATTTCTCCATATCCGAAGGCGTTTCCATTCATTTTTGTACGATGTCTTCATAGGTCACTCTACCCCAACTAACTTGAAAGTTACACCTTGAGCTCAATTTCAGTGTTGTGTACCTAGCTATCACCTCCAACTAGGGCCATCGCGCGCAGGAATAGGAAGGCGAAGTATGTACCCAAGGCACCGAAAGTTGTGCAGGGAAGTTATACCGCTCAGTAGTCAGCGATCCTTCTTATTTGGAAATCCGTCATAGGACGTTTTCATACACCGGCAACAATCTGAAGGTAGCGGTGTTCGAAAACTGACAGAATCTAGCCATCGTTTGTGAAAACGCACCGTTTCGCAACCTTACGGTCAAATTTTCTGTGCAGTACCATTATCGAGTTTCAGTGGCAGTGGCCACACCGGTGGACTATGTGACGAAAGTTAGGAAAAAGCTATCAGAACCTTAGAAATGCGTTAAAAGTCCTCAGTTGCACCACTAACATTACCAGCGTAAACTAACGACGGGCAGTCTGAAAGCTTAGAGCTGAAGCAGATGGATATTCTCTCTGTGTGGGTGCATAAATCAAATTATTGACTTGTACGCAGCAAACTTTAGGTGGCCTGTTAGGAACCACGACTTGATGTCAGCGTGTTCAAACCCATTGATTTGGTCACCCAAAAACAGCTCGACGTCACTAGATCCATAGAGAGGATGGATAGGAAAAATACAATGTTGCTACACCAACACTCAGGGGTTGTATTCTAAGCTCCCGGAACTGCGCCATCGACATGAAACAACAACTTGTGACCTCATAGCAGTTACTGAAACTTGGCTTTCAAACAACATACTTGATCCGGAGATTAAACTCAATGAGATGTCAATCATTCGGAATGATCGTCCATCTCGCGGTGGCGGTGTTGCCTTCTACTATCGAGGTTACTTGAAACGTGGGGCTCTTACCGAACATGCCCTTGTTATTCCCGACGCACTATTTTACCGACTGCACCTAACAGGTCGAGATGTTGGTTTAGTGAAGACACGTGATACTTGCCTCTTAGCAGGTATCTATAGGCCTCCAAACTCATCAGCAGACAGCGATAATATTCTGTTAAACGCTCCGTTGTGCTGTTTCATAAAAGTACTTTTTATCTTATAATGGGTGACTTCATTGTCCCCTAATGGGTCATCATTTAAATCGAAACTCCTCGAATTCATGGATATGACAGTTTTGTATAACCATGTGCATCGACCAACCAGACATCGCGGTTCAAACAAGCCATCACTTTTGGACTTAATCCTGACTAATGAAGAGTTGATGGTTGAATCAGTAGCATACGACCCTCCACTGGTCCGTAGCCATCATTCAGTCCTAACATTTGATTATGTGTGTTATGCCAATATGGTTGATAAAGAACGCGAAACTCAACGAACTGTTACGGACTATTTTAAGCTGCACAACTTAGCAGCAACCGTTGACTGGGACCTACAGACGCACAGTTCAGCGAATGACGCATGGAATGAATTGAAAAATAAACTTAACTGGGTCATACAATCAGCATCAAAAGTTGTACCATTACGAGCAGCGCACCGGACCAATAAGTGGATCCGAAGCAGAACACGTAAATAGATCAACAGAAGAGATGAGATCTGAAGGCAACATTCGCTAAGCCCATGAGATACCACATGGCAGAATTACAAAACAATCAGAAACTACTGCACGTCGCTCACTAGAGTCGTTAAGTACGAATGACGGGAGACCATGGTGCTGAAATTTACAAGTAACACCAAACTTCTATGCAGACATGTGAATGGCAAAAGAAAGGTTAAGCCCGGAATACCACAACACAAGACGGCCAGCGGCCTAACAACTACTGCTGTGGATGCCGCGGACGCTCTACTTCTGCAGTTTGGCTTGGTAGCTACAAATACCATGGAACCTTTGCCCTATCAACTCCCAACAAATGTCGTTGGCTTATCCAGCGTCACCTATACTCCAGCAGCTGTTGCAAACAAATTACAGTCTCGCTGGGAGTACAGTGCCGCTGGAATCGACTTGATCTGCCCAGAAGTACTGAAAATCCTCGCTCCCACCATAGCAGCACCAATCGCAGTCTTTTTCCAGGGTCTGCTTGCCTCCCATACACTCCCATCTGAGTGGAAAAATGGAATTATCACTGCAATATACAAAGGAGGTAAGCGCTCGGGTCCTGCTAACTACCGACCTATTGCTCTCCTTCCTGTTTTATCAAGTGATGAAATCGGTAATCACAGATGAACTGACGTGATATTTTGAAAGTCTACAAATAATTTCTAATGCCCAACATGGTTTCAGACACAGACGATCTTGTCTCACCAGTCTGTTGCATACTCGGTACCCATGGACTAGGGCGGCTAATGAAGAAGTCCCCATAGATGTGATTTACTTAAATTTTTCTAAAGCATTCGACAGGGTCAATGACTTCTTGCTCCTCCAAAAGCTTGTTGCCTACGGTATCAACGGTTCCTTGGTTGGAAGACTACTTACACGACAGATCAATCAAGATAAGAGTAGCCGACATTCACTCCGAAAGCCTGTGTGTCTTCAGTGATGTGCCTCAAGGATCCGTTCTCGGCCCGCTACTGTTTTTATTCTACATTAATGACCTTCCAGTAGACATTCTATCCCCGATGAAAATATTTGCAGATGATGCTAAAATATGGACAGCAATTCGTTCAGTATCCGACCGTGTCTATCTTCAGGATGATCTGGATCGGATTAACGAATGGGCAGAAGCGAACCAACTCCCGCTGAACCCTGCAGAGTGCTACCTGCTGACGGTGCGCAGCAGCCTTGCTGTAAACTATAAGAGGACGACTAGCATTTCAATGGTTCAACGTCGCCTATGTTGCGCAGACAATTGCAGTAAAGTCAGTGTAACTTGTTCTAGCTGCATTAGATCGTACTGTCCGCAATGTGTAGGCAAATCCGTCCCAGAAGTGAGACAGATAAAGTTGCTGACACAATTTAGTTTTGCTCAACATGTCAAGTCATTCCAGTTGTCAACTGTTTATCTTTGCTCATGAAAAAGTGCGATAGGATGACTGAGATTATCGCGCATTTTGTAAATACTGAGATCGATCCCACGGAGGCCACGATAATACCTAACCCAGCAAAAGTAAGCTCCGAATCTAATCCGAAGAAGAGAGCTAGACACTCCAACCGCACTGCAGCGTCTGTGACTCTAAATTTACTGGGTCACCTCACTCTCATAAGTGGACAAACCTCAAACATGCCTGTTTCCACTTCTCTAACCATAGACACTTCACTTGGAGATCCAGCCATGACACCGACAGCTCAGAGCCGAAGGCAATCCAGTACAGATAACAAGCAGGTAACGTACGCATCGATTGCGTCGACAAACCCACAGGGAGCGACAGACATTGGTCCATCTTCTGTACCAAGCACGCGTGGCGTAAAGCAGCTTTCACCGTCAACTCCAGTGGTGCCTTCTAAACAACCCGAATTGCCAACAAAAGATATAGGGCCAACACTCGCTAGACAAAACCACGCTGCGTTAACTCTCGTGTGCACCAATGTTCCCGAATCCAAATCTGGCACAATCAAAGGCAAGTTGCAAGACGATCACAACCAGTGGAATTCCATCTGCGAGGCGATGGGTATTCGGGTTGAGCCTGCAATTTTGCAACGCGTAGCGCGTCACCCGACCTCAGTGCACTCTGGTGAACCTAGAATTCTTCGAGTAACACTAGAGTCAGCAGATGAGACAGGCTGTCCTGCTCTCAGCAGTTCGTCTTCGCAACTCACCGAGCGGAGTGCGCATACTACCTGATCTACCTTGGAAAGATCGCCCAAAAAAAGCAGTTGAGCAACGCGACATTCCTAATAAGGATAGCAAGAAAACAATATTTGTTCATGGTGTTCCCGAGCTTCTGCATTCTTCTGATCAAGATGCGCAAACATATGACCGAGAGCAGTGATGCTACATCCGCGAAGCACTCTCTGTTGACAATGTTATTGCCAAATCCTTAACAAGAGTTCAGTCACCACCTAACTACAAGGGCTGCGGTCCAAGACTAATGAAACTAATATTACACTCCGAGGGAATGACGCAGGTTCTGCTGGACAGCTGGTTAAAGTTCCGAGCTAGGTTACCAGCAGAGATCCGACTAAAAGCAGTAAGCGAACGGCCAAAGGTCGGAAGCAATTCGATGGAACTTGCAAACGCTGCAAATTCTTTATCTCCACAGTCCTGCGGAGAGACGGACACAACAGGACAGAGTACAGCACGAGTGAAACGTCTGTTCAGAAACGCTCAAGTATGCCATGCAAATTGACTGAAATTCATAAACCAGAAAGTGATTAATGGCCGGCCACCTAACGGCCGGCTTAAAAACTAACACAAAGTTGACATACATCAACGCACTCCTAACAACAAAGCTCTATCTTCCATGTACACAAACGTCCAAGGCCTTCTAAGTAAGTTGGCCGAACTTAGAATGCTCCATGCCTCATAACCGCGGAACCTCGTCATGATTACAGAGACATGGTTAAACGCTGAGATCAATTTACCCGATATGTCGCTGCTTCGGACCGATAGAACCGGAAGGGGTGGCGGTGTAATTCTTTACTATAATACAAACTTCCGATGTGAAGTTGTCGATCACCCGGAAATCCGAGCTCCTGATTCACTTTGGTGCCGCCTATGGTTGCGAAACAAGGACACATGTCTACTATACGTGATTTACCGCCCACCAAACTCAACG